CTTAAACCAAGAGGCGGAACAAGAGAAGGCTTTTGTTGTACAAATCCTCATAAAGAGGATTAAAGACACAGTTAAATGCAGGGTTAGATTCAATAGAATAAAGCTTTCTTAAATACTGCAAGGACGATTTTATACGGCGTTGTGTAAGAGATGGCTCATCTGCCCCGACGTAGAGACTGTCAACAGGAGAAGTTCTGAAAGACCCAAGACAAAGTCTTAGACCCTGGTGATAGACAGAATCTAATAGTTTTAGGCTGCTGTTGCAGGCTCCACCATATACAATGGAGCCATTATCAAGTTTTCAACGGACCAGTGATCGATATAGATGGAGGAGGGTAGCTTGATCCCCCCCCCCCACACACACACACACACACACACACTTAGATTTGGAAACGACTTTCAACAAGTCAAGTGCCTTCAGGCATTTAGTTTTAAGGGACTTGATATGTGAAAGGAAAGTTAGATGTGTCAAAAATTAAACCCAAGAACTTGGCTTCCTTAACAACTTTGATGGGAGAGCCATTTAGAAACAGTTCAGGGTCTTTATGCGGTTTATATTTCCTACAAAAATGTATACAATTAGATTTAGAAAATTTAAAACCGTTTTCAAGACACCATTTATCTATTTTGTTTAAACACAACTCCATTTGCCTTTCAATAGTATGCATATTTTTACCACGACAAGAAATATTCAAATCATCCACAAATAACGATCCATCAATTGAATCGTTTAAAACTTTTGATAAACTATTTATCTTTATACTAAAGAGTGTGACAGACAAAATACTGCCTTGTGGAACACCCTGATCCTGATTATAATGATCAGACAGGGTAGAACCCACAGACACAGCGTGCTGTTTATTAATTAGAGCGTTTTTAACAAATGATTCTAAACGCACCAAGTGATCGACAGTACTTCTGTTTTGACGGAAACCACATTGTATATCTGTTATTAGGTTATTGGTTTCCAAATACCAAACACGTCGATTATTTATCATCCGTTCCATGGTCTTGCATGGTCACAGCTAGTTAGTGAAATTGGCCTATAAGTGGAAGGATCAGTATGATCACGTCCAGGTTTAGGGATGGGCACAACTATAGCATCACGCCACGACGAAGGAAATTGTCCAGATGTCCAAATGTCATCAAAAAATACGTAAGAGCGTCTCTAAACATGATTCAGATAAGTGTTTCAGGAGTTGATAATGTATACCATCAGCTCCTGAAGCAGTATCGTGAGCTTGGTCAAGAGCAGTATGAAGCTCATGTATCCGAAAAGGTTTCTTTGTAGTGGAATTCAGGTACATAGTTAGATTAGGAAGAATGTTTGGCCAAAGTTTCTCAAAGTGTATTAGCTATGTCAGATTTATCAGTTAATAATTCATCTCCGTCTTTGAGATGCTTAATGCTAGATTTAGAGCCCTTACCTTTTATTTTCTGGATCATGTTCCATACCTTCGATATCGACGTGCGCGAATTGATGTTTGATACATAGTTTCGCCAAGATTGGCGTATACTTTGTTTAAAAGTACGCCGTGCTTTGGCGAGTAAAATTTTAAATTTGTCTAAATTGTGGACCATAGGATGGCAACGGAAATAATGTTCCGTGCCTTGCGAGCCTGTTTGCATTCAGCGTTAAACCATGGTTTACGTACATGAGGAACTGCAGAGGATTTGGGGATACACTTGTCAGCTATGTGTTTGAGCTCATCTGAAAAACATTTTATGGCATCAGGAATATCATGAAAAAGTTCAGGTTTGAGTTTGTCAACACAGAAAGTTTCATATAAAGGCCAGTTAGCCTTCTTAAAGTTCCATCTTGATGATGGAGGAACATCAGATGGATTCACGGGTTTTAGTATTCTTGGGAAATGGTCACTTCCACATAGGTCGTCGTGGACTGACCACTCAAATTAATTCAATAGGTCTGAGTCTGTAATTGATAAATCAAGAGCTGAATCAGTTCCTGTGCCAGGATGTAAATATGTGTTAGAACCGTCATTATATATGTATAATTCATTATCTGAACAAAAGTCTTCTAATAGTGTACCTTTAGCATTAGTAGTTGTACCACCCTAGAGCGGGTTGTGGCCATTTAAATCTCCCATAATGATACAAGGTTTCGGGAGTTGGTCATATAAATTTTGAAGTTCAGTCTTCTGAAGAGTTGAAGACGGTGAGATGTACAAAGAGCATAATGTGAACTCAACACGTAACGTCAGTCGTACGGCAACCGCCTGGAGACCAGTATTAAGTATAACAGGGCTATGGATAACATTTTGTTTGGGGATACACTCCAGTGGCCCGATCACCTGGAGGTGAAAAGAAATGGTATGCACTGAAATGGCGTAAATCAAATGTATCCGTCTGTTTTAAATATGTCTCCTGGCTGATGGTGTGAAGTTCCTGGACTAATAGCTGCAAATCATTGAAATTATTCCTTATCCCTCTGCAGTTCCACTGTACAATGTTATTAGAAGAGATTATCCTTTGGGGGGATTTATTGGGGATCTACCCCGCACTTTTTTGGAGGGCGACAAGCTATGTGCCCTAGAATGGACGTTTTCGAATACGTCCATGGCCTCAAGAGATCCATATTTGTTGTATAATTGAATTCTATTTTCCGACCCTTTTGGGGCTCTGCCACTTTGTTTTTTGAAAGCATCAAGCTTCGGTGTATTTTTGCTTTTAGCAGTTTGCTAAGTATCAGATGACGATTGAGATTGTGAACGTGATTGAGAGGATGACTTGTGATCTGAAGATGACTCTGCCTGCCTTTCAGATGTACTAGGAAGTGATTTCGTGGTTTGAGATGATATAGCAGGATATAAACGGTGTGGATTGTCGCTTTTCACCCAAGTCAAGTTTGTTTAACAGCTTGTGGATGATGTAGATACTTTAGGGCTTGACTCAGTTGGTGTTTTGGTTATTGAAGCAAAATCGGACACTCTTTTGAGAAAGATGAATGTTCTCCTGAACAGTTGGTGCATTTTTTAAAAGTACTTGTACAATCTTCAGTTGTGTGTGTCTTCTCACCACAGTGAGCACACAGAACGGACATTGTACAAGTATTTACACCATGGCCAAACTTCTTGCATTTAAGACACATGAGCGGATTCGGAATATACAAGTCAACCTTGATGTTGCAGTAACCTGCCTTCAGTGATTTGGGAGCTGTCGGAGATGAAAAGGAAAATAGATAAGTGTTGGTTTGAACATTTTCATTGTGTTTACGGGTTGAAAAGCGTTTGAATTACAGCACACCTTGGTCTTTCATTTCAGTCACAATATCAAGTTCCGACATGTCAGCAAACAGTCGATCGCGGTCTCTGACGATACCTGTGCTTGTATTTAATGTCTTGTGAGCAGAGACAGTAACGGGAACGCCAACGAACGATTCAGTGCTCATCAGGTTGGCTGATTGTTGTCGTTTAGCACATTCAACCAGCAGCGCACCTGAACGTAAATTTTTAATGTTCTTAACCTCTCTGGCGATACCCTGAATACCCGTAGATATTGCGAAAGGGTTCAACTTTAACGGTGTCTTCTCAACAGTTTCAACCACTACAAAACGTGGCCAAAAGTCAATTGATTTGGACGGTCTCGGGTCATCGTCAATAGGATCAGTTTCAAGAGGACGTTTGGTTTTCTTTGTTGGGGTTTCATAAGCCATGTTTAGTGTTTAGATTTCATCATCCGAGCTCCCCACCCACCTGGGAGTATCACAAGGACAATGCTAAAAACAAGCGGGTCTCCAGCTTGCAGCACTGAGGATACCCGGATGATATACTCCGACAGAAAAACTAAAGGATTAATGATTCCACCAGATTGGCTCATGAGCCACCGCCTTCTTGGCATACGACTCTAGGCAAAAAACATACATGAATCTGTGTAGTTGAAAGACTGAGTTCAAAAAATTGCCAAGATTTAAAAATATATCTAATAATTCTCAAAAGTTTGTGCAACATTATACAGTTGTAGCAACCGCATGGTAATATGTCATTTTAAATAACGGTTCCTTGAATCAAATGTAGTACTGTTGCCTTCCAATGTAGCCATGCAAGCTTTAGCCATGATGACAGCACGACACGATTATCAGAGAACGTGCATGCATCTAGTTATGTGCTTGAAGGTTAACATTAACACTACTATCCGAAACCCACTTAAAGACGGAACTTGATGATGCTATAGGTGTAACATTGACCATGCATAAGACACCACCTGATAATGTCAAACCACGATAATTACAGTTACAACCCATTTGCAAAACAGTTCAAACATATTTCAACCTCCCTATGAAGAAACGGACCCTGTCTGAGAGAGAACACGATTTTTAAATGCAAAGAAACTTACACTGTTGATCATTAGCAAAGCAGTAAGGGCTTAAGCCAGGAGGAGAATCCAATTTTAAATAAGGCCAATTTCAGTCCAAGAAAACAACAAATAATGAAACCTGTAAACCCACTGTAGTAATATTTAACGCAGTAGCATCCGCACACTAATGTCCTGTCCCGGATTACATTGCAAATTTCATTTTTTCTTTAATATTGAGAACATGGCACAAGTCATTAATCAAAAACGAAACTCAAATCATTTTAATGTCAACGTCAATATCTATGTCCATGTTTTAAAACAGGAAACATTACTCAATTTAACTACTCAAGTAGAATCACTCTGGGGCCGACATGATTGATTTTTGAGTTAAGGGAATTGGAATTATAAAGGTACAAAAGCAATGTAAATCAAGTGGGAAACTCTCGAGTCAAGACATACTGCAATTTAGATTTGATGTAAAACAGGTAACTCCATTCTTATATATTGAAACCAAAGAAAAACGCGGGCATTATTTCATATGAATAACAGCATGATGAAACATATACCAGGTTCGCAAATGAATTACAGATTACTGCTATAATTGGCAGTTACAAACGGCATTACACAGAAGCATGACCAAATATAGACAATGACAGTACAAAAATACGATAGCAGTGGTAAAGAAGATGTCAGTGAAAACACCACCACCACCAGCAAAGGCACCAGCAAAAGCAAAATCACCAGCACCAGCAGCACCACAAGCACCAGCACGACCAGAACCAGCACCAACACCAACACCAACACCAGCAAAAGCACCAGTAGCACCGGCACCAGCACCACCACCGGCACCAGCACCAGCAAAAGCAAAAGCACCACCACCACCAGCAGCAGCACCACCAGCAGCACCAGCACCAGCAGCAGCAGCAGCAGCAATACCAGCACCAGCAGCACCAAGTACCAATACCAGCACCACCAGCACCAGCCACCAGCACCAGTACCAGCACCACCACCACCACCAGCAGTGCCAGCACCGGCACCGGCACCAGCAGCAGCAGCAGCACCAGCACCAGCACCAGCACCAGCACCGGCACCAGCAGCAGCAAAGCAGCACCACCACCACCACCAGCAGCAGCAGCAGCAGCACCACCACCAGCACCAGCACCACCACCACCACCACCACCACCACCACCAGCAGTACCAGTACCAGCACCAACAGTACCAGTACCAGCACCACCAGCAGTACCAATACCAGCACCACAATTACCAGCAGCAGTACCAGTACCAGCACCAACACCACCAGCAGTACCAGTACCAGCACCAACACGACCAACAGTACCAGTACCAGCACCACCAGCAGTACCAATACCAGCACCACCATTACCATTACCAGCACCAGTACCAGTACCAGCACCAGCACAACCACCACCACCACCACCAATAACACGGATCCATAGTATGTCTTGACTGGTTATGCGGGGTGAACGTATGATCTTCACTTAACCGCTGGTTTTGTGAGTGTCGTAATGTGAAATGTGAGAGTGAGTGAAAGATATTTAACGTTATAAAATGTGAGAGAAAAGACTCCCTTATAAAATATATTAAAAATCTTCAAAACATGTCTTTACTCAACTGGATTATTTATCACACTGGACCCCACGGTGATCTAAATGTAATAACGAGCACGCAAATGTCCTCTACTGAATCCTGCCAGAAAGAGGGGAAAACTGTGGCATCATTGTTTTAATACACTTGCGTGTTCCCTCCTCGGTAATCAACGTTTCGGTTAAAGTCAGCTGCGATGTTTTAACGATGCATTTAACATTTGTTCACTCATTTTGCGACGTATGTACACGTTTGTGTGGGATGTTTCAAACAATCAGAACAAATGGCGGATTATGCTAGCCGACTTATATATCAAGACATCGTGAAAGGTTTTATAACACTGAATGTTTAGTTCTTTGATGTACACACAATGAAAAGAAATGCTCCAGAGTCAATGTGTATATTAATTTAATGGATGCTGTAGATCAAAATTGACCGGTTTTATCAAGATATATGACGTAATTGCCCTACGTTAAATTTTATGAAAATCCATGTTCAGTTGATGTACATCATAGTATTTCAATAACGTAGCAGTATTGATGTCATTCACTAGATTGCCTGTTCCAGACATGATAACTTACCTACCAGACATGATAACTTACCTACCATAAAAGTGAGTGAGTGAGTTAGAATTTAACGTCACCTCGGCAATATTTCAGCCATATAGTGACGAGAAATGTTTTACATAAACAATAAATTAAAGTTGCTAAATAATCAGTCATCGAAGGACTGTAAAATAACTAGAGTATCACAGATTGAGTCTAAAACTAGCATCCTACCATAAAAAACATCACTGAAATGTAAGAAAGCAACCATATAAATAATATGTCACAAACACAAACAGAGGATGATCTCTATCTGTGGACATCAAATAATGTCAAATTCAGAAATTCAGTGAAATGAATGTTCTGACCAGACGTTGTAGTAACCTTTTTCATACTTTCCAGCAGACACTTCGCATCAGAAACAAACTCATAGCAACCCGTCTTCTTGTAGAGACGGGCGCATGTGGCTGGCTTCATCTCTTGATTCAGACGTTAAAGTTATCAATATGATTGAAAAAGAAGAAGTCACGAAGTTATCCAGTTGAGCTATTTTTTCACCAGGACGAAATTGAATTCCTGGCAGCAAGTCAGCTTTTGATCTACAGTAGGTCATCAGAATGTTATCGATCCTTTGAAAACATACTTTTTCAAACGTTACCACCACCCTTTCTGTCAATAAAACATCAGATTGTCTCTCTTCCAATATTTTTTCTCCCAATAAATAAAAAATCAAACATCGTGTACGCGATATATATGATGAAAGATATATCTAATCAAAATAATAAAAAAACATTCGTATCCGCTTACCACATTCATCTGTAATCTATATGTGCCATTGACGTCCACATTTCATATACTGGAACATCACTTTTCAATTGTGAACAATACACTTGGTTAATGGATCAAGGTAAATGGATCTCACCAAGCTTAACGTCACTCTGCAAAGTACATCATGAGGAATGCAAGTCTTCATAAACATGACGGCATAGACTATTACCCCAGACCCAGTATCCAGAACTACAGCCATTAACAACCATGAAATTATGGTGCTTTTGTTAATTATCAACGTATTGAAGCAAATACATAAATTGGTTTTATGAAGAATATAACTGATATAATTGGGAATACTAGGTCTGTTACGGATGGTATTCTGAAATATCCACCCATTACCTCAACGAAATCTTCTAAACATGGCCACAAAGGAATATATAACAAGTGTTTGCCACTGATGTGGCAATGTCCCCCGCCGCTAAAGAATGGAATATCTATGTTTACTACTTTTTATTTTTGGGTCATATACAATATGCCTGAAATGACTAGTGTCTGCATAATCACCCAATGTAGTCTGTGAACATACTTGAAAACATTGGGTGCAATTTTTTATGAGATATCGCCTTTAAAAAGCGGTCAAAGTATCGTAGTGACCTTGAAGATAAGGTCAAGGTCACCCAAATAAACTGGTGTCTGTGTAATACCCCAATGTAGACTGTCACCAATTTTGAAGACATTGGGTACAACAGTCCATGAGATATCACGCTAACAAGAGTTTGAAAAGTGGTCAAAGTGTCGCAGTGACTTTCAAAATAAGGTCCAGGTCACCCTAAATCGACTGGTGTCTGCGTAATCACCCGTTCAAATCGACTGGTGTCTGCGTAATCACCCAATGTAGGCTGTCACCAAATTTGAAGACATTGGGTACAACAGTTCATGAGATATCGCGTTAACAAGAATCGGGACGTACGGACGCCGCTGAATACATAGTCCCCCGTTCCGCGTTGCGGCGGGGGACAAAAAGAATTCCTGATTCACTAAGAGGCTAGGAACTTCCATTGTATCCCAAGTAATTAACTGTTCTGTTTTGAATAACTTTTCAAGTTATATAAAATATAATAATCTTTTATCAATACCATTCACTTAAAGGCTTTACAGGAGTGATATGTTTTTCAAACTATTTTTAATGCTTGCAATTCCCACCAAAATATTGTAATATTACCGTTCAAGAGTATATTAATCGTTAAAGAATACTCACCATTCAGAGATTCTATAGACAGACACACTATAGGGCTCATATCAAGTATGGATTTCGTTTTGACATGAAAGGAATGTCGATCACCTTTCATCTGATTTCAAAGTGAGGTCGATATTACCTTGCAATATGTTCAGAGACGGATAAACACATTCAGCAATAAACGACGCTAGATATCAATTGTCTGTTGTCATTGAAATTCAGTTGTTTCTCTTTGGGCAACACCCTACAGTTGAGAGGTTATCAGTTAATGAATTTAACAAACACAAACCCCAAACACAATGAGAAATGGTATGCTAGCTTAGTCGTGTGGGCATTTAATTATCTCAAGTCGGAAATAATCTGACTCCCTTTTTGTAACGTTCTGAACAACTGTGCAAGCTGCTGTTTCTCCTTTCAGCACAAATGATTGAATCGTTTGATTGATTTCAGTGATGCTGACATAACAGAGATAAGCTTAAAACTCTGATTAAAGAATTTGTTGCAAAACATTTGACCTGAATGTCTTCAAAGGTGATAACCTTTCAAAACCTATTGTGAAAAGACAGAAAACATTAGGAAAGATGATATGCTCTTTTGATCATATCAAAGAAGCTACACTAGAGAGTTTTTAAACAAACCATCTCCTGGTGAATAAAACCAGTGCTGAAGGAAGCTGGAATTAATATGGACATTTGTAAGACACGACAGGCATTATATCACAAAGTTGCCATTTGAAAACAACTTACCAAACAGCTGAATGGAGTGTGGATTGTGTGTTTGCGCAATGGTACAGTAATGTTACAATAACCCATAGATGTATAACTTATCAAAAGGGAGTTAACACGTCTGTTGTGTATTAATCACCTCAGACAATAATGTAACAATAATGTTACTCTCAACTATAGGTTTGTAACTTATTAAAAGGGAGTTTACGCGTTTGTGGTGTACTGATTACTTCAGACAATTTCAGACATTCTCGCTTATTTTTTATAAGGGGCGTTGGGGTAGCCTAGTGGTTAACGCGTTGGCTCGTCACGCCGAAGACCCGGGTTCGATTCCCCACATGGGTACAATGTGTGAAGCCCACATCTGGTGTCCCCCGCCGTGATGTTGCTGGAATATTGCTAAAAGCGGCGTAAAACCAAACTCAGTCAGTCAGTTAGTATATTTCATAATGCTCTGGTGATAAATCTTGTATAGGTTTCAACCCCCACAACTTAGAAAAAGTACTAAATGTTAGTTTTCACTTAGAAGGTTCATCCCAAATTCAACCTTTACTACACTTGTCAACTTTCTAGAAGGCAAAGTGTAGTCATAGCTGTCGCCCATGGAAGTCATGAGGATTCCCACTTGTCAGAGGGGTACGCTAAGACATTAATCCAGATTACCACTTGTCGGAACTTCCATTTTGTGGAGGCCTCAGGGCTTAGTTGGTTTTGTGAACAGGTGATTTATTGCCTCACTCGGATGTGTCACTAAAGGCACTAGATTGTGTAGTTTACTAAGAAAGTGTAATGGCACGTCTTATATTTCAAGATTGTGTCATAAGTAATGTCAATGAACCAATAGGTTTGGTATTAAGACACCTACCTGTTTAAACTGAAGTCAGTGACCTAACATTTCCATTTTCACCTAAGATAACTTTATTCCCAAATTGTATTTTTTAAACAAAGACAGAATAACGTATAAAGCCGCTGGACCAGAATTGTGTCAAAGTGTCGAAACTACTTTTACAACCTGACGTGTGCGTGTTACGAGTGAGTGAGTTGGCTTTAACACTGATTTGAGTTGCAATCAAGTTATTTCCCAGCTTCTCAGCTTGACCTTTGGGGAAAGCACGAAGTGATGCAGGTATTTCAAGTTACAATCACAGGTTTAGCCTAGCCTTTCTGCAGACCGAATTGCTGCACTTTACAATGCCTCATGGATTGGGGCAGGTGCCTTGGTTGATATGCATAGCGTGTCTTCGTATCAAGACCTGAACAAAGATTTCCTTCTTGAAGATGACTATTTAGACAGGCCAACAGGAGAGGTGTTTGCAAAGCAGCTGTGACAGGTATTAATGTTCAATGAATACAGCATTCGAATGTCGTCTTTCCTTTCGGAGTCAATTGTGTTCTGAATACTCTATAAATTGAAAATATCATGTTCATATTTTCACCAGAATTACAGTTTTGCCGGTTCATATTCAGTGCCATTGCCTTGACAAGGTTCTACTTGTCTGTAAATTTTCTGTTAACGAGAATACAAACTGTATGAATAATATCCATATTGTGAAGTTATGGC